GGTGTCTCCGTTCCTAAGACCATCAGAAATATGGTCTTAGGCAACCCCTGTGAAAAGGTCATTTGACCCCCAAAAGGGTCTCGACCCACAGGTTGAGAACCGCTGGTACAGGGTCGCTGTGAGTTCGAATGCATTCAATGACACGGAATGAGAGTCCACACGGACTTGACCGCAGTGTGTAGGTTCAAGGTGAGAAAGAACCCCAAGGCTGAAAACGGAGGTCAAATTCTCCCTGTCAACCACAGCCTTGCACAAACGGAGGGCTGGGGTCCAGTTCTAATCCAGCCTGCAGCTGCTCTTTGGGGCTGGCGCTGTCTTCCTCTTGGGGAGACAGACACCTGGGGCCTGTCCGAATGGGCACGAGGTCCACCCACGTGTGACATGACACGGAGCTTCTCCCCCGTGTGGTCTCTGAGGGGGGTGTGGGGCATTGGAAAGCGCAGAAGGACCCCGGGCCTGCCCATCTGCGGCTGGGGCTGAGCTCCCCTCCCCTCTGGAGTCCCCTGCCCCAAACCGTGGGGACACTGTGAGGCTTTTTGTCAGATGTGCCTCCGGGGAGGTGGGGGAGGAGCAAAAATTCAAATTCTCCTTGTATCTCAGGTGTGTCTTTAAAGCAAACACAAGGGCCCAAACCATGCCAGGAACCTCTTTGCAATTCTAATGAACCCTCCAGGTTCCCTCTCCACTGGCCTGACAGAGCCCAGACAAATATGCAAACACCCAGCTTTCTCTTTTTCACCCGGAAAGGTGTTCAAAAAAAATTTACATGCCATTAGCAGGCAGGACACAATTTGTGTCCTAAATGGGACCCAGTGCCATCTATGGCCGATGCCAGGAGGCTGGGTGAGCGTTGTCTTGCTGGGGAAGAGGGCCTGCCTGGGGCTCACTTCCTCCTCTGCCCTCTCACCCAGCCTTCAGCACTTGGCCCTGGCGGCCAGCTTCCGGCTTGGTTCAGCTGACTTGGAAAAGCAGAACAAGTTGAAAAGGATCGCTACAAGTGTCCTAGGAGTGGCAAAGACCCCTTGACGTAAGCCTGGCGCAGGCCAAAGACCCCACAAAGACAAATCATCCGGGGGAGGGTCAGTCCCACCCTGGGGGCCTCGGGAGAAAGATCTGGTGGTCTGCTTCCCCAAGGTCTCAGCCAGGAAAGCCCTGAGCAGTTCTACGCTGCTACACGGGGGCCACCAGGACTCAGCAGTGTGTGTACACAGGCTTTGTCGGGTTCCCTGCTGGCGCGGTGGGTTACACACTGAGCTACTGATGGCAGGGTCTGCAGTTCAAACCCACCCACAATTCTGCGGGACAAAGAGGAGGCTGTCTACTCCTGTGAAGATTTAATCTCAGAAACTCACAGGATCAGTCCTGCTCTGTCCTGTAGGGGTGGCTAAGAGTCGGAATTGACTCGATGGCAGTACGTTTGGGTGGTCAGCAAGGCCAGCCACTGGCAGACCGTCTCAGTAACTTCGTAGTTCCACCGTCTCTGTGTGTGTGTGTGTGTGTGTGTGTCTCTCTTTTCTGACAAGCCCTGGTGGCACACTGAGTTAAGCGCTGGCCTGCTAACTGCAGTGTCAGCAGTTCAAACCCACCAGTGGCTTTGAGGGAGAAAAATGAGGCTGTCTGCTCCTGTCAAGAATTATACTATCGGAAATCCTAAGGAGGTAGTTCCCCTCTGCCGTCTAGGCAAGCTATGAGTCAGAATTGACAGGACAGCGGTAGGTTTGGGGTTTTACTTCTCTCCTTTCTTTCTCCTTTCTCTCTCTCTGTCTCTCTCAGGTCTTGCCGTAAGAGAGCTGCTAGCCACGCTGAGTGTGTTGGTGGTCTCTGCAGGTGTGGGGTCTGCGTGCAGTGGAGAATGACAAGGGGTCTGAGAGCGAGTGGTGGTGAGGAGTGAGGTGCAGCGTTCCCTCACAGAGGGGTCACAGGGAAAAGATGAGCCAGTCAGGGTGCAGTATAGCACCAATGAAACACACAACTTTCCTCTAGTTCTTTAATGCTTCCATCCCCCACTATCATGACCTCAATTCTACCTTACAAATCAGATTAGACCAGAACATGCACACTGCTACAGATAAGAGCCCGCAATGCTGGGAATCCAGGATAGATAAAACCCCCTCAGGGCCAACAATGAGAGTAGAGATACCAGGAGGATTAGGGGAAGAGATACCAGGAGGATTAGGGGAAGGTGGGGGGGGAATCGATCACAAGGATCAACATATAACCCCCTCCCAGGGGGACGAACCACGGAAAAGTGGGTGAAGGTCAACAGAGGGTGATATAAGATATGAAAATAATAATCTATAACTTATCAAGGGGTGAAGAGGGAGGGGGAGA